CTGTCTCTCTTTAAAAAAAAAAAAAAAGGGCAACGAATAAATGTTTTTAAAAAAAATTAGAGATGTATTTCCAGAGGGTGAGGGTGTAAATAATGCATCAGTGGGAAAGCATGACTTCTAGGTGATACATTTGGAGAGGTGGTTGTTCCGAGTGTGAATGAGCCCATGCTCACACTGGCTTCTCTTGTGTTTCAGCACATCAGGTCCACCCATCTGGCCGGGCAGTACCTTCTTCAAGAGAAATGGAGCCCTTCTGCAAGGTAGGTGTCTAGGAGCGGCCCTCCCCACCCCCTCGCTCTACGCCCTTGCGCTGGGTAGCAGGTGGGAGAGCGCTGTCCTCTTAAGGAGCGGGCACTGTCTGAAGAAGTGTGACTGCTGTGCGTTGGGGCTCTTTGTCCCGTCTCTTTATTTCTTCCTGCTCACGTCTCCTGGTTGCTATGAATTGTTATTCCGAATCTGGGACTGGTTCTTTGGTTTGTCACCGCTGGTCGTATTCCAGAAGCGTCCGGCTTGCTTTGGTGAAACTGGAATCGTGTGGCAGTCAGGATATGACAGTAGCATAAACGGAGCTGGTTAAAGACAAAACGGAACAAAACAAAACAAAAACCCTATTATGTATTTTCAGTGCTTGGGTCAACGAGGAATGTTGGGGGGGTTCTGGCACTTTGGTTATTGTGGTGGTTCCACTCATTCCTTGCTGTCCCCTAACATCCGCGTGTGCCTGGAAGGTTGGTTGCCTGTGGTTTGTTCCGAGGCTCGGAGGTGAGCCACCCCTCTCCTGTCCCGACGACTGTCCTTTGCAGGGGGACATCCTTTCTGTTGTCCAGCCCACCCTTCGCTGTTGGTTTGCCGTCAGTCCTCCCCAGCCTGCTCAAAGAATTCCAACTGCCGTTCATCTCTACTTTTGCTATTAAGTTTCTTTTGAAACGGCCAAATAAAGTTGAAGAATAAATGGTTAAAAGTAGCCAGAAGAGGGGCGCCTGAGTGGCTTAGTCAGTTAAGCCTCCAACTTCGGCTCAGGTCATGATCTCGCGGTTCCTGAGTTCGAGCCCCGCGTCGGGCTCTGTGCTGACAGCTCAGAGCCTGGAGGCTGCTTCAGATGCTGTGTCTCCCTCTTTCTCTGCCCCTCCCCTGCTTGTGGTCTGTCTGTCTGCCTCTCAAAAATAAATAAACATTCAAAAAAAGAATTAAAAGTAGCCATAAGATGCCTTCTGGATAATGCTGGGTTATCTCTGTTAGAGATGTCTGCTGTGCAAGTAAGCTGGAATCAGTTGGCTCCCTGGGCCCTCCCAGTTTCCTGTCCCCATTCACCTCGTCGGGCCGGGTAAGGGTCAGAGCGGCACGGCTGGCCAAAAGCAGATGAATCTGGTCATACCAAGAGCTTTAGAACTGGGCTGGGCTTGTACAGAATATTCCACACCTTTCCGTTGGTTTAGAGCTGGTTAGCCTCTTTTCCTTAAAAGTACATGCCGAGGGCTGGCCAGGCATGTGAAGGAGTTAGAATATAATTGTGGCTGAGAAAAGGGACATTTATCTTCAGGTTTCCAGAGTAGCTCGAAGAGATGCCATCACATTTGTGTTGTTGTTTTATAGGCCATGCAATTGCATACTGCTTTTTAATAGCCTGTGAAATCAGGAACTGAAGGATTTCCTTGCCTTTTTGCTTGGTACGGGCGAAATTGAGGTGGGAAGTTTTGACTAATCCTAATTTTAATGACTGTTATAGATACCTTTATTTTTTTTTTAAATTTTTTTTTTTTTTTTTAACGTTTATTTATTTTTTTGGGACAGAGAGAGACAGAGCATGAACGGGGGAGGGGCAGAGAGAGAGGGAGACACAGAATCAGAAACAGGCTCCAGGCTCTGAGCCATCAGCCCAGAGCCCGACGCGGGGCCCGAACTCACGGACCGCGAGATCGTGACCTGGCTGAAGTCGGACGCTTAACCGACTGCGCCACCCAGGCGCCCCTAGATACCTTTAATATTTAAGGAAAAAAGGGAACTCCCTCTACTCTCAAAGATTAATACATAATTAAAAAAAATCTGTTCTCCCTTCAGATAGCAAAAATGGAAACCAATTATGATGAGCCTTTGGGAATTTTTTTCAAGTGAGTTTCAAAGTTATGTGCATGTTTATTTTTCCTCCAGATCTACAACAATAATACGAATATCATTCGAGTTTGGATTATTTTCAGGAGAGGGATTTTACTTGGCGAGCACATTTTCTTGTAGGATTTTTACTCATTAAGTTTCATATTAAGATTCGCTCTTAGGATATTAGTTTTTGGTTGTTTCTGTTGGGCAGAGACATGAAGAAAACATCAATGAGATTCTGAAGTTGAGTGATTTCACTATGAGATCCTATCTCATGGGTGTGGACATTTTTCCTCTTCCAGATAGGGTTTAAAATTCTAATTATTCTAAGTGTTGAGAATTACATTATTACAGATTTCAGATGCTTATTCAGTCCCCATCCAATTCCATGCAGCCCTCCTTTTTTGTTTTTGTTTTGTTTTTTTGTACATGTGAAAATCAGAAGACTCTTGGTTGGAGTTTGAGAGGGTAGGCAAGGATTTGTTACGTTTTTCCTGCGATATTTCTTTGCTGTGTATTATATTTGCTCTATCTATATATGGAGTTCAGGAGACACTTTTATTGTTGCTAAGATTTTTCAAACTATGTGCATGTTCTCCCTAATTAATATTTTCGTAGTCCTTTGGTGGGGTATGGTTCATCAAGAAATCGCTCATGCCCATGAGTGAATGTTTTACAATAAAAATATGGGTATATAAACAACGGAGCTGCCCAGTCATGCCAGTGGAATGTTTAGTTTAAAATCAAGTAGAGGGGCGCCTGGGTGGCGCAGTCGGTTAAGCGTCCGACTTCAGCCAGGTCACGATCTCGCGGTCCGTGAGTTCGAGCCCCGCGTCGGGCTCTGGGCTGATGGCTCAGAGCCTGGAGCCTGTTTCCGATTCTGTGTCTCCCTCTCTCTCTGCCCCTCCCCCGTTCATGCTCTGTCTCTCTCTGTCCCAAAAATAAAAATAAACGTTGAAAAAAAAAAATTTAAAAAAAAAAAAAAAATTAAAAAAAAATAAATAAATAAAATAAAATCAAGTAGAAGGAGCACCTGGGTGGCTCAGTTGGTTAAGCAGCCGACTTTAGCTCAGGTCATGATCTCGCGGTTCCTGAGTTCGAGCCCCACATCGGGCTCTGTGCTGACAGGTCAGAGCCTGGAGCGTGCTTCAGATTCTGTGTCTCCCTCTCTCTCTGCTCCAATCCCGCTCGCACTCTGTCTCTCTCTCTCTCTCTCTCTCTCTCTCTCTCTCAAAAATAAGGAAACATTTAAATTTTTTTTTTCAAAAATCAAGTAGAAGAAAACATACCTGATTTATATACTCACTTTCTCACCTTTATACATTTTCAAAACATGCACACATTCCTTCTTTTCCCTCTGTAGCAAGCAGGAGGACATTTTTTTCTAGATAATTAGCCTAGCCCACCCCAGCCACAAGCAGAACTGGCTGACCCGGGCTACCCGGGGGTCAGGGAGAACCTACTGTGCCCAGTGGCCCTGGGGTGGAAGGTAAGAGAACTTGGGCATGGCCGAAGAAGCTGATGTGTCTCGTCATTTGGAGGAGGGGGGCTTATTTTTGTCAGGACGGTGGGAGAGTAGGGGCTGTCAGTTCTTGGGAGAGTTGACGCCTTGAACAAGACCTTGAAAAATAGTCTGTGTGTGTGGAAACAGAGCAAAGGGCATTGCAAGAGGGGGCAGCAAGAGTCTGTAGGCAAGAGAGGGCGTGGCGATGGGGACGTTATGTGGCAGGTGCGGACAATGAGTGATTCACGGGCACTTTGGGATGATGACATCCCATGTTCTCAGCAGGATCTGCCCCAGAACGCCATGCTGCCCACAGAGGGTATGGTAGCAGTTAAATCCTGAAGTCCGCGGCACAATGTGGCATCATGGTTCCAGTGGGGAACCCATGTACGAAGTCAGATAGTTGTTTGGTTTGTTAGCTGTCTGGCAGAAACATAGTAGTTATTATTTTTTTTTTTTCTAGCATAAAACCAATTGTAAGAATTCACTGGAAGGAAGCACTCAGGGTCCTACTAGAGTGTGGCCTCTGTGTTTGGTTCTTGCAGAGTCACTGGCGAGAGGGCCTGCTGAATCATCTAGCAGTTTTGAGGATAATGGGGGAAGATTTGGTTTGGATTACACCAGGCATGGGTACTTAACATAATTGGCCATTTCATCAATTCACAGTATTTATTTTAAATGCCATTTAGGCTGCTAGAGACAATTTTAGGATGTTAGCAGTTTCAGGGACCAGAGAGCACTTCAGTTCTTGTACAATGGAAACCTAGCTGTGTGCCAGAAGGGGACAAACCCTTTGTTTAAAGGGGACCCAGGGCAGGTCCAAACAGATGAGTGTGGCTTATTCGGAGCCCTGCAGGAGTGACCAGCTGACAGGTGTCTCCAACTGTCCCCTCCGCATGTCTGCGTGTCTCTGTTACAGTCGGTGTGCGTTTGAAATGCATTTTTTTATTTTATTAGTTAATAACGTCTCATTTTTTTGTAATGAAGAGAGTAAAGCGTTCTCCTTTTTTTTTTCTTCTCCAAACTCCCTTGCGCCTCCCCCACCCACCCACACATACACATTCCATTCACCCATTAAACTTAAAATTGGGTTACTTTATTTAAACATCACCCTTGGATGGATTATTTTAATGAGGCAGTGATTCCTAGTTAAGCACATTCTTTACCCCTGGTCTAACGCTTCATCTGGTCCCTGGATGTTTCATCCCAGCACTACATACAGCATTGCCGTTCTCTTCTCTTCCTGCCTTCTTCTAAAAGTTCCTATGAGCCACGGTCATCTTGTCTTCCACTTCTGCCCTTTGGGTCTTTGTAGGGTCCGTAAGCAGTTTCGTTCAGAGACCAGCCTCGGCCTTCATAGCTCTGAGCTTGCTTACCATCCGGGACCACCTGCCTTTTATCTCTTCCTCTTCCTCTGAGCAGGTGTTTCCAGGGCCCCGCCCACTCTGGCGTCACACCACACACCCCAGCCCTCCTGGCAGATCTGCTGGAACGTGGACATCTCGCCCCGGCCATGCCCGCTTGCAACCTCCCCGCCGGCCTTCCCGGCCCTCCCTCCGCCTTCCTTCTCTCCCTCACTCCAGGGTTGGGCCACTAATTATTATTAAATCTGTTTCCTTAGGATGCAGCGGAAGAATTAAAATAAATTCCATAACACGCATA